TATGCATAAATATATATACTTATAAATGTTACTTAAAACAGGGAAATTGAAAGACAAACAGTAGGCGTCTATTGTTCATTTATTTCATAGCCTCTCCCACACATCTGGATATTATAAAACATAACACCATATGTCTATTTAGGATCATGGGAGTCTAATGTTTTATGTTACATGACAGCACTACTGTAAATGTGGCAGAAGTAATAAATGAAAACAAATTTTCTTTTATGAATAAATTGAAGAATATTTTGTCACATCCATTCTGATAAAACTATATAAATGTTTGTTTAACTTGGAGGGGTTACATGCAAAAGATTACAGAAGAAATAATAGAACACTCGTTAAGTGCTCTATTCAAAGTTTCTGTGACAAGGTAAAGTGGCCTACCCTGAAATAGTAAATTCTAAATAAGGTTTTCAACTTTTCAAGCATATTACAATCTATCCCTCACTGTTACTCTGTAAGTTACTTGTCTCAGATATACTCTAATACTTTGGCTGCATTATATGCACTACTTTAGGTGGATGCCATTCAGAAAGCAATGGTACTTGGTTTACATTTAAGCATCCATACAAATATAAGAAAGTCATCATCATGAATCAAAATTCCAGCAAGTAATTATTGAACCTCTACTATGTCATGGGCATATGAAATTGAATTTTAAGATAAAGCATTAAGAAAAAAGAAATGAGGCCCCTGAAACTCTCCAAAGGACAGAATATAAACTAGAGAGAAGGAAACAAAGATTCTATTAGATCATTAGCTTCCTACGAGGCAGGGAAATAAAACAGAACAAGCTCTGGAGTCAGACCAAATTGGATTCTAATCTTACTTGTACAATTAGCGGCTGCAGGATCATAGACAAGTTGCTGTAACACAGGAATGATAATGCTGCATAGATTGAAGATCATGCATGAAGAGCACTTAATACTTCCTCTGCATGCTAGTAGATGCTCAATAAATAATGAGTTTTTTTCATTAATAGTGTTATTAGTAACATCAACTGCAAAATATTAACTATCACTGTAGTTAGCATATGAAAAGTTCTTCATAAGTGCTTGCTGAATGGATGAGCACTGAACGTAGCCTAAACAAGGAGATATGCAATGAAGCTCATATGCAACAGAGATCAAAACACATCCATCTGTCTCAATTCTTCTGAGAAGGATTTCCTAAAAAAGAAGTTTTACCCTTCCCCCTTTATTTCTGCCTTTGTGGTTGTTTGAATACTTTAAGAGCAACGTAATTTTTCCCGACTGCTAGTACCATTCCCAGAGACAGAGCTAATCTCTCCATTCTTTTATTAAATCATGAAACAGGATTATGATGTTCCACATTTCTGCTTGCGTGGTCCTAAGACATTCAGATAAGGTTAGCAGGGCAAATGACTGTCAGGTACTTGAACAGCAACCCAGGTTTGGGGCCTGAGGATGCCAAGCTTCTGGGGTGAGAATAGATTCCACGGGTTTCCCTCAGTCTCTCCCTTAACCAGGCAGGCTGGCTTCCACTTTCTGCCATCATGGCTAATCTGTCTGAATTCTTCACAGCATGCTGACACTCATTCTGTCTTCACTCACTGTAAGACGAGGCACTGCAGTGAAACCGAAGTGGGAGAAACTGTGAACAGGTGGTTCTGCACCTGAGTCCTTGCTTTGTTCCTCCATTACCTAAGTCACATGGTGTGTGATACATTTTAACAAGTTCTCAGTTTTCTCCTTTGTCAAAGGAGACAAGAAGCAGGTCACTAAGAGCACAGGCTCTGCAGTCAGAAATGTGTGGCTCTGTACCTTGGCTTTCCCATTTATGAGCACTGTAACTTTGTGCAAATCACTTAACTGCTTTTTATATCTCACTGTCTTAATTTATAAAGTGGCAAAAAGAATAGCACCATAGACTAATTTGATAAGGGTTGACGAGGCAATATCTCTAATATATTCACCCGAGCATAAAGCACGTAGAAACTTCTTCTTCTCCTTCTTCTGCTTTTTATTATTATTATTACTGTTATTATAAGATTACCCACTGTCTTTCACGCCTACATTTGTAATCCTCTTTACAAGGACCTTAGCTTGTTTACACCGTAGTATGAAAGTCAGGACGATGTGGCAATGAATTAGAGAACAATAACAGAAAATACAATGCAGATCTAAAAGAAGTCAGAGGAGACAGGAACAACCAAATGCAGACTAGCAAAACAAAGTAAATATAATACAAAAGTAAGAGGGTTAGTACTAAATAAAGATATCAAGTCCAGTTGGGATGCTAGAGCACTCAGACAGTAATTTAGTAACTACATATTTAAAGGAAGATGAGTTATATATATGAGTAGGCACCACTTGGTGTTTTGGAGGTATTTTTCTCTAATATATGCAAATAAAATTTATTCAATAACTTAAAAAATGGACTATATGATATTTCATGAAATTTGAGTCTAAAGCTATAAATAAGATGCACACTTCTTGCCCCTTTCAATTTTCTGCGGGAAAAAAGAATTCAATTCCAAATTCTGTTAAAAAATTCCAGTTCAAAGCACAAATGACATAGTAGCCACATGAAACTGTGGTGCTCTGTGGAGTTAGTTTGAGAGTTTTGGAATTGGAATTATCTGATAAGAAACAACTCAAAGGGATGGTGAATACACAACTACATAGATTTTTGGGAAGCTTACCATCAGAGAACGTTTGTACAAACGTACCCTATTTCTGTGAATTTGTTTCACAGAAATCTGAGAATTCTATTGCTTTAAAAATGACTGGATGGGGCGCCTGGGTGGCTCAGTCGGCTAAGCATCTGACTCTTGATTTTGGCTCAGGTCATGATCTCAGGATCATGAAACTGAGCTGCGTGGGGCTCCGTGCTCAGTGGGGAGTCCACTTGAGATTCCCTCCCTCCCTCTCCCTCTGTCCACCCCTGCGCTCTCTCTCTCTCTCTGTGTCTCTGAAATAAATAAATAAACCTTTTAAAAAATAATGACTGGAATCTAAAAGGAACAAAATGCAAATATTGTCAATGCAAAGTGATATTAAAACAAAACAAAACAAACAAGCAAAAAAAAAAAAAAAATGCTCTTATCCCTAACCTAATGTTCTTCTAGCACAGTACCTCAGAGACTCACAAGCCAGGGGAAAGAAGATGAATTACATCTGAAGTAAAAAACATGAAGCGTCAGAAATCAAAAGGCTATGATAAGTCTATAATGTGTCTAGTTCACGGGGAGAGAAATTCACAAATTTGGCAAAGCATGAAAAGGGAGGGAAAGAATAATAACCTAGCCATTTCAAAATTAGTTTTTTAAAAAAATTATCTCTAGAAAACTAAATTCTTTGTTGTTAAACTTGTTTTCCTTTTATACAATCAAAATCAAATGAGTATTAGGCAGAGGTATTAAGATCAAAAGTGGAAATACGTATTGATTATATTCCTTTTTTGCTTACAGTGGTAGTACTCTAAACTTGACCCTTCTGTTCCTGTTCTATCACTAAGATATTCTATGTGTTTACTAATCTTCATTTCACTAAGAATTCATGGTCCCCTGATTTCTGTTTCAAAGGTAGTGTCTAAAGGTGCAGTGTTGTGCTGATGTTAACAGCAGTTATGACAGAATCCATGCGAGTCAGCAAGAGGAGGAATGAAGTGCTATGCATCTTATCTAGAAAACACGTGGCCTGCTAGGGGTCCTAAATTAACTTAATGCTTGACATCAGCTATCATGAATCCAGGGGTACTCTGGTCAGGTCTCACCACCGTGCTAGGGCACTAACACATATTTTCTAGAGGATCCATGACATTGCTAGCTAGACTTCTTACACAAACTTCAAGCTGAACATCACCACAGCAAAACTTTATTGGGAACACCACCACAAAACTGTGAAGATTTTAAAATGTCTTCCCAAATAAAATTTAACAACAACAACAAAATAACAGATATTTAAGAGACATAGCAGAGAGTGAAGATAATGGCCTCATTAGAACCCATCAACACTTACTTTTCTGTATGAACATGAGCTACTTTAAATTACCTTGTACTCCCCTAAGTCAAAATGCAAAACTGTAAGGATCAGGAAAAATCAGAAAAGGAGACAGCCCACAGTATAGATTCCGGCATAAGCCACAGCATCTTTACTGAAATAAATTGGTTACAAGTGGGTCCTTGCCGGGGCAAGGCAGAGGGCAAGCACTTAAGACACTGTCTCTTCCCTGGGAGTGGTCTCTATGTTTCATCAAAAGAAGAACGTCTTGAGATTTCCAAGTAGTGTCCTATACAATTTTTACATTTGTTTATACTATACAAATATTGCAAGGTATATATTATGTGTACATAATTATGGGAGTTATTATACACTTAGAAAACAGCATACTATTGTTTAGAATGTATAATGAAGTTTTTTAAAAAAAAGTTTATTCTATTTAACACCCTTCTTAGCCTTAAAATACTATGTAACTTCCTAAAGATTGTTGTCTGGTCTATATCAAAACAAATTGTACTCATACTCAAAATTACCCCTGATCTACTCCCTGCTTCAATATGAGTCTGTTTTAACTTATGTTTTATATTTCATAGGATAGCAACAAAATAAACTTAAAAAAAGAGAATAATCAACTTACCCTCTATTACCATAAATTTGCAATATTGCCACTAACAAACATAGTTCCAACCTAGAAGCTTACTTGACTTAGAAAGTCATTTTAATAAGTAATAGAAAAATTATTTAATAACGTGCTCATCATTTCTATTCTTACTATCAAAGAATTTCATCAGTTTACCGATCATGTAATTTTTTTTCCCATACAGAATGATAACCTTTGGCAATGTGAAACATGAACTTCAATGTGAACTTGAATAATTGCTATTTCTCTATAACTTGCTGCCGTGGAGAACATGAGCCATTTGAGAGCTGACATCTAAACATCTGCAAGAATTGGGACTTTCAAGCCCCGCCATCCTTCAGTGAGTATCATCGGCTATTAACTTTAAAGCATTTCTGCAGACAAAGACCCACCTCAGGCTCAGGACTAGCAGCTGCTCCTTCGACTTCAGTAGCTCCCCCACTTGAAAACTGGCATAGCCCAGGAAGCTTCGCTGAAAATAAGAAAAAATGGTTTTCATTAACTTCAGAAGTCCTTAATATTTTTGCTGTCACACCAATCATTCAAAATTAGAAGAATGAAATGTCGACTCCATGAGCCTGACAAATATTTCACTTGCAGAGATACAATCATCACTGACAGAGATACAATAATAGAGCCTTCTCATGGGGTGAGGTCCAGGGGTGCAAATGTATCCTTTTCATTAAAAACAGAGAGACCAGTAGCCTGGAAAATAACAAAATGTGTAATACCGAAGCCAGGACTTTTCTGCGAACTAATTTTCTTCCCCTATGAAAACTGGGATAGAAGAAAAGAGGATAAAATTTCAATATTTACCAATGCTGTCGTCGTTCTTATTAGAATTCCTCAAGTCACTGGCAGCAACAACTTTGTATTCCAGATATGAGCAAATCTGTTAGTTGGAGCTATTTTTATGTGGGACTCTGTACAAGTTATAAATAGAAATGCTATATTCCCCCCCCATCACAGCAATGTTTAAAAGCATTTGTTTCCTTTGTTATTTCTATACTAGCATGGGACAACTTCATTCCAATACACAAAACAGAAAGGTACTTATTCTGTTACATTTTCTAAAATTGCTTTTTAAACCTATCATACTGGCTGTTGACTACAAATATCTCCTTTCTACACTCTTTGACTCATAAGGTAAACAATAAAACTCTAAATTGGTTTTTCTTTTCCAGGATACAAATCTTTCATCTCTTTTTAACATTCTGGGCTACTTCTGATTTAAAAGTCAAAATATTATGGTATACCATAAAGAGTATTTCTCATGCTCCCCTCAAGGTCAAGAAGTAAACATGAAAATATCAAACCCATATCATCTAGGCCATTGCTGCCTAACACACTGTAACACTCTACAAGAAGTCAACACTACATCTTCCAGAGCATTCTCTCTTCATGGGTCTGTTGTAGGGCTGCACTAGAATGAGAGCCTGGACTTCAGGGGTCTGAGGACAATTGGGTCTTTTCAGCGAAAAGTGTGCGGTTATTTCATACACGAAAGGCTGCAACCACACTTAGCAATTGTAAAGCATAAGAAAGACAAGCTTCAGGTCCAAATTTTTCTCCTCCTTTTCAGTTTAGAATTGTTTCAAAAAAACTCAAGGGCCAACACTGAAAATACACCTCAGTTCTAAAGTGGGAGATGCCTACACGTTAGCAAGGATAAACCCAATGAACTAACTTGAAACTCACAGAGCTGGCTTAGAGACACCAAATCACCTAAAGCCAGAAGAACATGAGACTAAATTATCAGGAGAAGGACGTCAGGTGAAAATACTATTTGTGGCGAAAGCTCTGATGATACGTCAATGAGTGATGAAATGAGAATGAGTCAAGGCAGAAAAGGAAGTCCAAGTGCTATATGGACAAAGCATGAAGGAATTTCGGGTAACTTTTCAGCAAAGGGCAGAGAAGAGCCTGGGAGAGATCTGGCTGAACAAAAGCATTAATGTCACCTCATCAGAGATAGCTACTAGAACATCCTTTATGAGCATGCTGTCCCATCTATATACTCTGCTATTCTCTATTTCTTATCCTGTTGTATTTTTCTCTATTGGCACTTATCACCATATGACATATTATATATATATATATATATATATTTGCTTATTTTGTAACTCCCTTGGAAATAACTGAGATTTGAAGCTCCACGAGGAGCTTATTTTGTTTTCTCACAAACTCATACTGCTTAGTGCACAGTAGGCATGTGATAAATGTTTGCTGACAATAAATGAATGAACGACTGGCATAAAAACTAGCTTTCAGGTTAGTCACTCTATTAGATATAGATATTAGAATGTTCTTTCCGTAGGTATTTACAAAGTACTGTAATTTGCTGAAATGTGGGAAATCAAAACAATTTTAGTGTGCGGATTGTGTATCGTTGTAGTGAATTTCATTGTAGGATTTTGTAGTTAAACAGATGTCTATCTCACTTCCTCTTTCCCTGATTATCAGGGTTTTTAAATTCCTACTCCTCATTCTTTATCCTCATTCAAAGAAAACTCTTCACTGATGAGAGGTTTCATGATGCCCCAAAATTTCAGATGATTTTCTCTCTGCCTTTTTAGATTTTGAAGGTATGGATGGTTTGGGAATTAATAAAACAAACTGCATATGTCATGAATGTTACTGAGGTCTTTTCATCAATAAAAGTGACAAATGCCCCAGAGTGGAATGAGAGACAGGTGGAGTGGCTATTTTCAGACACGAGCTACACACACCCCATGAGGCCCAGCTGCCTGTAGAGTTGTGACCACAACCACTGAATGTCTCCTCTGTCCACCAGATCAGGAGCTGCCGTGGAAGGAGGACTCTGGCTTGTCCATCCCTGAGCCAAGCCCAGGGCCCCGAACAGAGGGGCTGCAGGGTATGCCTACTGTCTCACTGTACCTGCTTGCAGCGGGCCCAGGACAACACCCAGGAGTCAAACTTTTTCTACCATAACCGGCAGCCACAGGCTTCATCTCAAAGGATAATAAGAGATTTTACAGAACTCATACGACTTGTGAAAAACTAATTTAGGTAATGACATTACAGCACTGTGTTATGAAAACATGTCAAACCCGAGGAGGTGTTATTTAGGTATAAAGATTATCTTCTTTATTCTACAAATCACTGTCCATGGGGACTCCCAGTGGCATAAAGCGCATTAATGAAATCCCCAAAGACAGGGTGTAATTGTCCCACGCTGCAACACTAACAATGGAATTGCCTCTATATTTACTTTCTGGCAGGTGTTTTTGTATTTGCTTCCCCTCAACATAAATAAAACACATCACTCATATACATGGATATTGACTGGACTCCTGTAAAAGAATGAATTAGAGGGAAACAGTCTTCTCTGTTGCTGGAACCTAAGTCCCCATGGAGGGAAAATAGCACGCTAATGCTAATGTAAAAGAATAACTTAATATAAAGCTATTCTATCTTTGCTATCACTGTAATCATAACCATGGAACTTGAGAGACATCTTTAAAAATTTTTATATTTCAAATGTAACTCAAGGAACAAGCTTTTCCATCTCGTCTTCAGGGCTGTTTCTAAAATTCTCATCTTTAAACTGGGAGCTCTAATATCAGTGGAAAAATGTGAAAGACAAACCAAAAAATTAGTCTCCCTGGAGTTGGAGATCAGAGGTCTGGAGTGTCATTTTATTCTGTCCAAAAATGGAAATCTGGGCAATTAAATCACTTCTCCCAGCCCCCAGACTAGCTATCCACTAACGGGTATTGTCAGGCCTTGTTTCTCTGTCTTCTCTCTTACAAATCTGTGGTCTTGAACGAGTTACTTCACCATTCCCAGTTATAACTGCTGTAGGAAAAAGTTGCATGTGATAACTCTATCATTCTCATAGTTTTAAGAATCAAAGTAAGCTAGGCAAAGCACTCAGTACATTGCTGGGAAGATAGGAAGTTAAAGGAAGTTAACTGGCTTACATTTGGTCCCAGAACTAGTTAATATGCAGAGGCCATGTTGGAATCCAGGTTTCTTGCTTTTTAGTCCAGCATTCTTTTATCCCCATTACACTGGGCTTTATTTCCAGGACAGGTGGCCATTCCCTCTCCTTCTGCCAGGCTCTCTGTCTGCTCAGCATGTGGCTCTGACCTTTTTTGCCTGCTCATGAGAGTGTGACACTCACAAGGATCATTCTGGTGCAAGCACCCAAAGCAGAGGATCACTCAATGGCTTCCTGCACAATTTCACTCACTCACCTGGCTGGAGAGTGATATCAAGCAGGGCGAAAAAAAGTGGGGCATCTGCCTCAATCCCTGGTTGCTCTCTATATAGAGTGTACAAATAAACAGTTTATCCTACCAGCCCTTGCAGGGACTCTGAGCAAGTCACAAGTATTCAGAATGCTTCGGGGGTTGTACACCTCTCTGCAGCACGCCCTCAATGGTCCCTGGTTGAGCTGTACTATACAAGGAGCCAAAAGAGGTACAGCCCTGTACACCTTGCCGCGAGCTGGCCAAACCTCCATCACCTATGTTCATCTTGCAAAGCCTTTAATCAAAGCATAGGTTTCCTTTATACGACAATTTCTAAGAGCCTCCCAAGCTTTTCCAAGTACTGTCTAGAGCTGTACGATCCAATGGGTAGCCACTAGTTCAAGCACTGGCCTTGTAGCTACTCTGAATTGAGATGTGCTGTAAGGATGAAATACACATCACATTTAAACAACATGGTATGAGAAAAAGAGTGTGAAATAGAGCATTAATAATTTCTTGTACTGATTATATTTTGAAATGATTACATTTTGTATATATTGGGTTCAACAAAATATTAAAATTCATCTTGCCTGTGTCTTTTTAATTTTTTAAAAGCCTGTAAAATTACATATGTGGCACACATTTGTGGCACACATATTTCCACGGAAAAGTGCTGGTTTAGAGGTTAAGTGAATATATCAATAATACTTTACCTATTCTTATAAAACTATATACAGGAACTGTCGTACAAGTTTGAAAGGCCTTGGAAGAGCTGAACTTGATAGCATGAGGCCGATACCCAACATCTCCTACATGTAACTCACAGCACAGGCCTTTTTTTCATAGCCCGTGTACTTTTTCTTCCCTGTCAACCCTAACAGATATGGTTACATGGTTTCCCATCAAATAGGAAGGGAAATAAGACACATGAACTACTCACAGCGAAAAAGAAGAAGAAGAAGAAAAAAAAGACTTGGGAGGAAATCTATTAAAAGTGGACAAACAGTCCAAAGAAAACATTACAAAGCATTTTAGGGTAAAGTCATATATTTAAAAATTACATATTTACTATGAATATACCTCAAAAGGTCTCAGCACAGATTGGTATCTGCTTCACTAAGACATCAACAAAAGGCTTGGGTGCAGCCAATGGATACTGCTTAAGAATGCAAAGAAATGTATAGAACATATTTGAGCTATTTATAATAAAAAGTTTCAGCTCATTTTTTTTTTTTAAAGATTTTATTTATTTATT